AATTTGACAGACTTCTGCAATCTAAAAAAAATTCCGACGGTGAATAGTAACCGTGGATATGAATAGTGCCCGTATGGATGAATAGTACTCGTACGTATGAATAGTACCGTACGTATGAATAGTACTCTAACCAAAGCTCTGATGCCACTTGTTAGGACCCGGTGGCACTAAACACTACTGCACAGCGGAATAAAATAAATGATCAACGAAACCAAAAATAAATGACACAATATTTAACGTGGTTCACCTAAAACGTTTAGGCTACGTCCACAAATCCGACACCAACTTCCACTAAAACATTTAGCAGGCATACAAAGAGAGACTTCCCCAATAATTTGGAGGTACAACAATTCCTGAGCTCTACCCAAAATAGTGGCGCACACAAAAGTGTTTCCCGAAAAATACCCGACTAGTATTTCTACTCACTATTTTGTCACTCCCCTGTTAGGAAACATTCCTAAAGGAACTATATCTCTCTCCCTCTCAAACTCTTTCTTCTTGAGTTTTGATATATTTTTTGGTGTGTTATACAATGAAATGGAAGGGGGTATTTATAGTTTTGAGATAGGGACCAAAAGTGCAAATCTCACCTACCAAGAAGGATCAATTTGCAATATTCCCATCTCACCTACCACTCATTGCATCATTGCTTATCTCACTAAGGAGAGTTGCATCATTGCTTACCTCTCCCATACATCACCATAATTGTTGGAAAAACTAACAATTAGGAGCATGGACAACCTTTTTGCGCACGAAATAACAATGACAGGAGATTGATCGGTCGGGGTCGAGTGATCCTCAGGGTTTAGGCCTCCTTTTACTGTTGCGACTACCTCTTTTCTCTTTCAGAAAGATAAAGGATCACGAGAGAGGCAAGTGCTTTCATGAATAAACCATCAAATTCCTCAAACATATAAGACGAACCTATCGCAAAGTTCATATTGCTCCTCTCTAACTTCCACTGTAATATTTTGTTTCGCTGGTATAATTTTTTTGGCCTCCGATGTTTATTCTTCACTTGATACAAATCAAAAATCTAAACAATGTTAATTTGTTAATATCCAACTTCATTCTTTCTCCCCAATAAAATTACGTTGATACATTTGGTAGATGTATAGCATTAATTATGAATCTAAAACGGTGTGCTTAATTTCCTCTAAAATAGTCTATACCTCAAATTTGTCAACGACATAATTAACGTGTGTGACATGTCACTATCATGTGATTACATATTATGTGATATATTGTTGGTCGTTCGTGCACTAACGTATAATATTTGTTATGTACCATTCTACTAAAACAAGATTAAACATGATCCTTTTAATTAGCTATAGAAAATTGTGATTTAATTAAGTTGTAATCAATTCAGCCGTGTTGCATTTTGTGAGTACAAACATCAGATATATTAGGTCATTGTTTCTAAACATATTTATTATTGCATGGTGGTTCTAACGTTACATTTTAAAATAGAGTCGTTTTTTTTTCTTCAAATACGCCATTTTTTTTAGCGAAAGTGCTTAGAATATTTAATCTATTAGATTATTTTAGTAGTACAGTCAGACCTTTATATAACAGCATTCCTATATAACAACAGTTCACTATAAAAACCAAGCTTTTTTCGGAACCAATTTTCGTGTTATGTTATAATATATATTCTCTATAACAGTACTTCGTTATACAGTCAAAACCTCTCTATAACAACTTCGTTGTTCCGAATATTTTTGGATGTTATAACGAAGTGCTGTTATTCTCTATATTATAACATAGCATGAAAATTGATTTCGGAAAAAGCTTGGCTTTTATAGTTTTATACAGTCAGATCTCTCTATAACAACATTGTTATATAACAATCATTCACTATAAAAGCCATGTTCTTTATGGAACCAATCTTCATGTTATGTTATAATATATGTTCTCTATAACAACACTTCGCTATAACAGCTAAAAAAGTCCGGAACAAATGAAGTTGTTATAGAGAGGTTTGACTCTATAGGAATATTGTTATAGAGAGGTCTGACTGTAACATCCAAAAATATTCGGAGCAAACGAAATTGTTATAGAAAGATTTGACTGTATGTATAAATTTAGGCGCTATTGATGTATTTATTCTTCCAATATTAATGCGAGAAAAGAAATACTAGTTTTCTAACATTACTGTTTTAGTAAATAAAGTTCAGTAATATGCGTGAAATTACCCTAACAAACTTAGCAAAAGTAAGAAAAACATTATCTTCGGCATGTTAGTGAGATTTCTTGTTGTTTTCCCATACAAACTCAAATTCAGATAATTTTAAGATTAGAAAATCTAATTATTTGACAATAGAACTATGGAAGGTTGAGCTATTATTTCCTGTCGAAAAATCGATGAGATATACATATACAAAAATTGTATCTCATTATTTAGGTTTAAAAGTCTTAATTTGAGAGGCAAATTTGTTTATTAAAAGGCGAAATACATAAGCAGTCCCTTTAAGTTGTCCTCAACGACCAGCCAGACATCTCAACTGACCCGTTTATCATTTTAACACTTCTTCTCCACTAAAGTACGACCTCGTGAATCCTTCACGCTGACATGGCAAAATGTGTGTTTTATACTTCATTATAAGCGCGTGAAACCCTCAAAATTAAGGTTTTTTTGTTTTTCTTTTAAATTTAACTTTATTTTATGTGGGTCCTATTATATTTTATTTTTCACACATTAATTATATTTTCTTCCCAAAATATTCCATCCTCACCAAATCAGTAGTGCCTCTTCCTTCCGCCATTAATCCTCCCCTCTTCTTCAATTTTGAAAATAATGTAACAATTAATAACAACCACTACATAATAACAATTTCATTGACCGCCCACAAAACTTCAATCCCATTTTCTGCAGCTTTTACTCATGGATTAGAGCCAGAGAATTGAATTAAACTTCTCTGTTTCTGTGTGTGTTTAAGTGAAAGAGAAAGAAAAAGGAAAAGCATAATTGGTTCATTTGACATGTCACTAGCGAGTGTAATTCATGCATATAGTTTGCCAGACTCGGATGTTCACGAAATACACTTAATAGCCACTTGAAGTGATAAAATGATAAATGGGTCAGTTGAGGCGTCCGGTTGGTCGTTGAGGACAACTTAAAGATGCTGTTTATGTATTTTTGTCTTATTAAAAGCTTAATAAACTTATTGCAGAGCTCCCATCAGCATTTTGGTTCTTTCTTTTCTTTTTCTTTTTATTTTCCATTACTTTTAAAATTGATTAACTTGGTCCTCCTTGGAATCTAAGGATGAGATTGAAGCAGAACCGTTAATTTTCGTGTTGTAAATGTTTGAAAATTGAATTAACCTTAAGTTTATTCAAAAGAAACTCTTAAGCTTTACATCTTTCACTATTTTAGACAAGAAAATTGAAAATTTTGATAAATGATACTATGTGTTTGCGAATAATTATCAAAGCATTTTTAAATATTTTTTAATGATAACGCTTCTAGATTATTGAGGATGCTATTATTATTACTAGTATTAGTACTCACGTGGATACACAGACACTAATCATGTCAAATATTTAAGTTATTTGGATTGTATGTAAATAATCTTAAAATTTACACTTTCTAAGTAAATATAAATAATCATTGGATATTAACTACATGAAAAAAAAAATTAATCATTTCTACTATTTTTCTTTTTTGATACTATTCTTGCCGGTGTCATTGGATCCTAAAAATAGTCAGGAAGCAAAATAATAACTCATATTTATGGCAAAATAATCAAATGTTGAGACAATGAATGACTCTTTGGATAAGACTTAACTCTTTTACTGCTACTTAAACTCTATTTGGTGTGTTGATATCTCTTAAAAAATATTTCTTTCTTAAAATTTCAGTTTCTAAAATATTATTTTTTAATAATAATTATTTTGTAATAATGTAATTGAAAATATTATTTTTAATTCAAAACGCATTTTAATTGGCTATCTAAAAATATAAAAAATTCTTTAGCTATTGAATTTTCTTTTACTCTATTTTGATATTTGACATTAACCATGTTAAATATCTAAGTTATTTGAATTATATGTAAATAACCTTAACATTTAAACCTTCTAAATAATTATAGATAATCGTCAGATATTAATTAAGAAACATTACATGAAAAAAGAGTAACATTTTCTCAATTCTCGTAGTGATAATTTTATTTTTACACTATTCTCATAGGTGTCTTTGGAATTGTCTATATATGAACTTTAATTATACTTTTAGTCTTTGGTTGAAGTTATTTCATATTTTTCTTTTGGCTTTATCTAATCAACCTAAATAGGTGCTCACCCGACCACTTAAATTAAAAAAATTGAATGATGTGTAATTTATATATAATTCATATATAATATGTGTATAATCGTGTGTTGTCGGTATATCATCTGTTTATATTAGCTATAAAAAGTAAACAATAAATATGATCGGATAATACGTAAATATTCCATAGAATTTCGGTTTTTTGAGTTTATCCATGATATAACTTCTATTATAATAATTTTAAAATTCTCTACTAATGTTCAAAATATCTTATCTTTTTATTATCTTTGTATTAAAAAGGGTAAAGAGTTTTTTCGAAATAATTTGTTTACATTTTTTTAAAAAATATTTCACGTCATACCAATTTTTTCTTTATATATAAAGTTATCACATACTATTGATATTTACTAGCTTGCCACTTGGCTTAACCATAATGTCAATTATATATGGTAACTTTCTTGCTTTAATATATNCACGTCAATGGGTGTCACCACGTGTCATTTGTCGTAGCCCCCATTTGTTTAACCAGATTTGTCCATAAAACCTCAAAAGAAAATAGTTAATGTAGGTGACTGTAAATTTAGCAATTAATTTTTGTTTTGTATATGTATATTTACATATTTGAGAATTAAATCAATAAATATAATATAGTTAGCAGATTTTATAGTTAAAAAGAAAACTTTATTTAAGCTAGTCATTATCAAACAAATAGCCATTAACGGGAAAAAAAGCGAGTAATAAAAAAATCAAAGCCACCATCCACTCATTTTCGCCTTTCTTCATCCTTCTTATAAATCCGCCATTTTCAACACTCTTTCAAGCTCTCTCAAATTCCGCCATGAAAATTTCATAAGAAAAACCCATCACTATAAAGCACCGTTTTCACCAAATCTGAGAATTCTTCACTCACATTTGAAACTCCTTTATTTTTCTCTTTTTTTTTGTGAATTTTCCAGATATGGTTTTCCTGGAAAATTCTCATTCTCATGTGTCTTCTACTACCCAAACACGGCCTAATTATTACTACACTCCACCACCTTCCTCTACCAAAGCCCACCGTTCACTTGGCCGGTCCATGCGCACTATTCGGTCCACTCTGTACCAAGCGGAAACTAACTCCGGCCCGGTTTACGAGAATCTCACAGATTCCATTGTCGATTTTCGGCTCAGCGAGCTCGCAAAAAAACCGCCGCCGCCGATTCATAAATCTGACGTGGATTTTCTGGAACTTTCTAGATCTTTCAGTGATTTCTCGGCGTGTAGCAGTGATATCTCCGGCGAGTTGGAACGTCTCGCGCAGGTTCCAATTTCGGATCAGAACTGGAGCTCCGAAACCGAACCTGAACCTTGCGTGGGATTTCTAGAGAGAGATTCGTTTTCAACGGAGATAATAGAGAGTATTGAACCGGAAGATCTTCAGCCGACGGTGAAACTCTGCGTCGACAGTTTAAAGTCACTGTCGGCGGCCGTGAAGAGATCGGCGGCAGCGAAATTGAGGCTCTTAGCAAAGAACCGAGCTGAAAATCGCGCATTAATCGGCGAGTCTGGCGCGGTTCCGGCATTGTTGCCGCTCCTCCGGTGCTCCGATCCGTGGACTCAGGAACACGCCGTAACGGCGCTCCTCAATCTCTCGCTTCACGAGCCGAACAAAACCCTAATTACAAATTCTGGAGCTATAAAATCCCTCATTTACGTTTTAAAAACGGGGACGGAAACGTCCAAGCAAAATGCAGCTTGTGCTCTGTTAAGTTTAGCTTTGATCGATGAAAATAAGCTCTCAATCGGTGCTTGTGGTGCTATTGCGCCGTTAGTTGCTCTGTTAATTAACGGAACAAATCGGGGTAAAAAGGATGCATTAACAACGCTGTATAAGTTGTGTACAGTGAGGTTGAATAAAGAGCGGGCCGTGAATGCGGGTGCTGTGAAGCCGTTAGTGGGGTTAGTGTGTGAGGAGGGTGGAGGGTTAGCCGAGAAGGCTATGGTGGTGTTGAGTAGCTTAGCGGGGATTGAGACGGGGAGAGAAGAGATTATTGAGGAAGGTGGGATTGGTGCACTGGTGGAAGTGATTGAAGATGGAAGTAACAAAGGGAAGGAATTTGCAGTGGTGACGCTTTTGCAGCTGTGTGTTGACAGTGTGTGGAATAGAGGGATTCTTGTTAGGGAAGGAGGGATTCCTCCTCTTGTTGCCTTGTCGCAGAATGGAACTGCTAAAGCTAAGCATAAGGTCAGTTTACTACTGTTTGATGCCATTAGAAGGAAATTCTTATCACAATTGGTTGTGCTTATTGTTTGTTTTCCATAAAGATTGAATCTTGATCAATTACTTGTGCTTATTGTTTGTTTTCCATAAAGATTGAATCTTGATCAATTACTTGTGCTTGTTGTTTGCCATAAAGAGGAAATCTTGATCAATTACTTGTGCTTATTGTTTGCCATAATGTTTGAACTTTTATCAATTACACTTGTTTTATTGTTTATCCTAAAGAGAAAATTTTGATGAATTAGTTGTGCTTACTGTTTACCATAAAGATGAAGTCTTGTTAATTTGTTTGTGCTTATTGTTTACTATAAGATTGTATTTTTATTGTTTACTTGTCTCATTATTTACCATAAAGATAGAACTTTTGTAGATTACTTGTGTTAGTTGTTTATTATAAAGTGAGAATTTTTATGGATGGTCTGTCATAAAATAGCCATTGATCATTTCAAATTATAGATAAGTATTATTTGGATATACTTGTTAGACATGAATGGAGCGTAACGGATTTAAAGGAATAATGTAGCAGAATCCAACTAAATTGAGATTGATTAATAGTTGATTGATTGATTCAGGTGTATATTGTATTTGATTGATGCTACCAGCTTATTGATTTAACTAGATAACAAATATTCGGGTCGAACTTCAAATCAAGTTTCCAACATTAATAGTGCAATATATCAGGATTTTGACTTCTAGCCATGGTCATGTCATATGGAGTGTTCCCCTTTTGGATGTAAATTTGGAAGATGAACATGGAAAAGATGGAAAAAAACAGAAAAAGAACTTTGGAAAAGGACCATTATATTTATAGCTGCCATGTGCCTTTAATGAGAAATGCATTTACTTGAATTTGATGGTGTCATATTTGAAAATTGGTGCTTGCAATAATAAATAGATTGAAAGCGGGTCGCAGTGTTGCTTTCCGTGATTATGATGTATAGTGTGCCTATTCATTTTTGGTCCATCAAATGGAAGCTGTAGTTTTCAGATAGTTGCCTTGTTATGGAAAACTCAATCTTAATGGGGCTTGGTTGTTTTTGGCAGGCGGAAACGTTACTCGGATACTTGAGGGAACCAAGACAAGAAGTTTCTACTTCAACTCCTTAGAAAGTTAGCTTAGATGATCTTCTACATTGGCATCGTCTGTTTATAGGAAGTGGTACGAAGAAGTTTGTACAGAGTGGTTACAAATTTAGGAGTTCACGACATATGTCGGGTAATCTAAAAAATAAATATGAAGCTTAAGGAAGCTGACTTATTTAGGTGAATTCTTTAGTAGGTATTACAGAGGAGCTGGGCAGGGATTGTGGGAAGGTTCTCATGTTTCTCTGAATTATTATCTGTTGTATGTTTTGGGGGAGAAGGTTGTTCGCCTAGTTGTTTGGTAAGAATTTGATAATCATCCCTTAGTTTTGTTTAGGAGTTTAGCGTAGGGTCTATCCGAAACAGCCTCTTTACCCTTCCAAGGTAGGGTAAGGCTACGTACATCTTATAGGAATCTTATCCTTCGTAGACCCCACTCGTGGGTATTCGCTGGGTTTGTTGTTGTTGTAGTAGTTTTATTTAGGAGGTCCAAATTTTTCTGAAAGGGTTACTAATTTTCTGATTTTTAGTGTGTAAAAAAGCAACTATTCAGTATGCTTGAGTTTCTTTTTTTCTTGAACAAGAATATACTGTAGTGTATGCTGTAACATATGTGGCCATTAATGAGATATTTCTTGATTTTATGACTGAATTTTGTCAAGCTTTAATGCTTGCTCCAAGATTAGGTTGTTGTCATTTTTACAGCTATTAAATTAGTGTCTACATCTATACAACTAGAGAGCATTAGATGTCTGTCTTTCCCAGTTGGTGTGAATACTACAAGGTGCAGCAACCCCACCTTTCCTTATTAGCATCACTTGTAGCATTTTATTCCTAATATGTATTTATCCCCTGTGTAGAAGGGAGTTTTGGCATAACTGATAAAGTTGCTGCCATGTGACCAGGAGATGACGGGTTCGAGCCGTAGAAACAACCTCTTGCAGAAATGCAGGGTAAGACTGCGTACAATAGACCCTTGTGGTCAGGCCCTTCCCTGAACCCGTACATAGCGAGAGTTTAGTGCACCAGACTGTTCTTTTTTATTTATTGCCTATACATCTTCTCATGTTTGTCTATATTCAATTACATTGTGACTTTTTAGCTGGCAGAGTTGCTTAAGATTTAGTCAATTGAGATGTGTTTAAATGAGTTGGTTAGCCAACAATGTGGTCCTCCAAATTTTGATCCTTCTTATACATTGGTAAGATAATCCAACACTTAATCCAAACTCTATTTGGGCTCCCATTATTAAATTCAGGTGACAGTGAAGTAATGTACACATGGGACCCTGTGGAATAATAGTCACTACTCTCAAAATGTGGCATGATGTGTTTGATAAAGTTCTGAGCCATTAATCATATATATCCAGACGCACAAAAGAGGGCGTTGTGACAGTTGATATTTAATTGCTCTCCACTTTCTTATTGTACCAAATGAGCACTGCATTGCTCAAAGGCATGGTAGGGTCCTTTGAATTATTACTCCTTGGTTGTAAAGGGAGAGGAACTGCTGTGGCTTGGTCCTACCAGAACCGACTTTGTAGCCAATGGCGTATGCAAAATTATGTTAACGGTATGGACTCTTTTTTCTTTTTCTTTTGGGCCATTTGGATTTATGCTCAGTTTTGGGGTCACAGTTGAAGTTATACTCAACAACAACAACCCAGTGTAATTTTACTAGTGGGGTCTGGAGAGGGTTGTGTGTACGCAAACCTTACCCTTACCCTGAGGGGTAGAGAGGTTGTTTCCGAAAGACCCTCAGCTCAAGAGGACGAAAAGAGATAATATATTAATACCATCAATAAAAATCTAGCATCACAAGAACATAGATAAAAAGCAAATAATAACCAGTAGATAAAGCCCGGCACTAAGAGAGAACGAAAGAGTAATGTGAACTCGACATTAACCATTAGCAGTCTAAGACAAAATCCTAACAGATTAGCCTCACTGTAGTGCGTCGTAGAAATATGCACAACTATCTCCTAATCCACGTTGCACAAAAATTTACTAGTCTACCCACTTTAGGATCAATTTCAGACTTATTGGGTCTGAAGTTGAAAAAAATTAGCTTGAAGTGCAATGCAGTTAAGGTCAAATAGGTCTGAAGTGCAAGAATATTTTTATGCACTTAAGGCTAAATAGGTCTGAAGTGAAAAATTGCACTTCAAATATACTTAACGCCAAATAGGTCTAAAGGGTAACCGATATTTTTATGCACTTAAGATCAAATAGGTCTGAAGTGCAAATTGTCTAGAAACAAAACTTGTTCTTCGAATTTCAACAATCCAATACATGATTTAACATCTAATTATACTCCAAATGAGTTCAAATTTGTAACTTAACTTTCAAATATCATCAAGAACAAACCCCATCATCAATTTGTCAAGATAACAATAAATCTAATAAACTCATTTTGCAATTAGTAAACAATTAAGCGTCACAGCAGGTCACTACTGTAAAACACTATAAACCACCTTAAAACATCTTCACAAATACTATATAAATTCATTGTCACCTTTATTTTCACATAGTAGAAGAAGAAGAAGAAAGAGGAGGAAAAAAAACTGAAGTTATTTGTACTTTGATACTAATTAAAAAAAAAAATTTAAAAAATTAATACATGTTAAATAGGAATGACCAACGCCCCGAGAAATATTTACTTTTCGTTTTATCTAATGTGGCGGCACCCGATTCAATTTGGGGATAAGTTCACAAATGACATTTAAAGAAGCTAGTCATGAACTTTTGACCTTTAGGGTATGCAGAACTTTTAAGTATAAAAAGTTTTACCTCATGAGCAAATTTTTTTACTTTTAATCTTGAAAGTTTGCCTGTTCTAAGGTCAAAAAATTAAAGACCACTCCTTATAGTATTTTATTTGTGTCATTTTCCGGTCAATTTGCATGCACCTTTTTTCTATCTTACGGGTACTTGCTATTTTTTAACCGGCACAAGTATTCATCAAAACTTGTGTAACTACGGTGAGATTTGAATCTGAGACCTCATTTTTCTCCTCTTACATCATTGATACTAGTGGGTGCATATAGATTGTGAAGGCTTATTGTCACAATTTGGGTTTTCTGTTAGTTCGGGTATGGAACGGTGGTTTTAGTATTTTTATATTATTTTCAAATGGTGGCTCACATAGTGTATATATGTATACATATTTTTATTAGCAAAATATATTTTACATGGTGTCTTCGCCACTGCTTGTAATACATTCAAGCAGAGGTGGACCCAGGATTTGAGCATTACGGAGGCACCACTTTAAAAATAAAATTAACAAATTATGCATTGTAGGAGCCCTGATTCGGACCTGGGTCATCAAGAGAGTGAAGGTACTTCAAGCCCTTCTACAAACCAGCTCCTCTATCCAGATATTATGATTTTAGGGGGCCGCATAAAATACTTAACGGGTCCTCAATATGTTTATATATAGAGAGAGAGAAGAGAGAGAGAGAGAGAATCTTTTTGCCGAAACCAACGGGTTTCGATAACCTCCACCCAGGGGCGGATTTAGGGGGTGGAAGGCGGTTCACCCGAACCTCCTTCACCGAAAAATTACATTGTATGTATAAGGCAAAATCTGATTTTTACCTCTATATATTATGTTTTGAATCCCCTGACATAGCCCAAAAGCATAGCTTAGTAGTCAATGAGATTTAAAATCTTTGTAAGTTTATTGGTTCAATTTCCACTGGCTACAATTTGTTTTAACTTTTTTTTCGTTTTTGAACCCCTTAACGGAAATCCTGCCTCCGCCACTATCCCCACCCCGACGTAGGTCCAGGGCTAGCCGGAGCCTAAGGCCACTAAGGCAATGGCCTTAGGCCCTCAAAATATTTAGGCCCCAAAATCTATAAATAATATATATAATATTTAATAATTATGCACTATTAATAGAATTTTTAAATTACTTGGTTAAAATAGTTACAACTAAAAGTTTTATACATTTTAAATTGTAGTTACTAGTTATTTTCTGTCTTTAATTCGTCCCAACTTAAATCGGCGTTCTTACGATGTTAGTTTAGAATAATTTTTCTTAATTCTTTGAGTGCCTTCGTAGACATTTTTCAAGATACGTTGATAAGTAACTATTAAAATTCGTCCTTAACTTTGAATGACTCTTGAAACATAGCAGTTATAACTACATTATTATTTGTTTCAGCCTACATTTAGAATTAAAAGTGCTAAGAGAAACTGTATAAGCAGAAGAATACTCTGATTGACAAACTCAATCAGGTAAAAAGTGTTAATTCAATTAACATTATAATTTCTATATCAGTTGCCTCGGTTGAAAAAGTTTTTCAAATTTAAATCAATAAAGTTCAACATGATAACACAAGAGAGATTAAACAAATTGATTAGACATTGACAGTAATTAAAAATAACTATAACTTTTTTAGATTTTGATAAATTATAAGAGTAAAAAAAATTTAAAAAATTTAAATCCTCACTTTTTATTTTCGCCTTAGACCCCATATTATGTCGAGCCGCCCCTGCGTAGGTCCGCCCCTGCATTCAAGTATATACCTGCAGATTGTATATGTATGATTATAATGGCAGCCACCAACCTTGCATTAAATTATCTAGTTTGGTATAATTTGTAACATTGCCGTTTCGATGAGTGCATTTGACAGATTTTAAAATATGAACGCGTTAGCTGTCACAACAAGTTACATCAATTTGTTTTGCTGTTTGGATAATTCTTTAGCAATCTATGAATTTTTTTTGCTCATCCTTTAATCTAGGGAAAAATTAAAAAATAATTATATTTATAAGTAGTCATTCAAAAATAGCAACAGTTTCAAAGTAATTCAAATTTAGCCACTTTTCATGTAAAGATAAATCTGAACAAAAATACTGTTCAAAATTCGGAAAAATATTCAAGAATAATATATTGGAGTTCCAGTATAATATACCGGTCCAGCATAATATACTGGAACTTTCTGCGTGTTGGAATTCCAGCATAATATGCTGGAAGTTCATACACAGGTGCACCGATCTCCAGTATATTATGCTGGAACTTTCTATGTTGCAGCAAAATATTGGCTATTTTTCAATAACTTTGCAAACACTGGCTAATTTTGAATGATCTGTCCGAAAACTGGCTAGCTTGTGCTATTTTTACTTTAATCTAAGGCACCATTTATCCATAAAAAAAAAGTTCCTTTTTTTTTCAAAAATATGTTTGTCCATGAAATTTTGCAAGTTTTTGAAAAAATTTCGAAAATGAGTTTTTCTAAAAATCAAAAGTGGTTTTGATCAAAAGTGGTTTTGACCAATTTTTTCAAAATTTTAAGAAAAACTTTTTCCCTCATTCAGAAAACTCTAATATTTTTTCAAGTGAAATACATGTCCAAACATAATTTTAAATTTCAAATATTATTTTTCAACTTAATTTCAAATACTTTTTTTTAAATTACAATTTTTATGTCCAAATTCCTACTAAATTATTCTCTTTGATTCGTGATAACTGTAAAAAAAAAAAAAAAAAAAAAAAAAAAAAAGAAGAAGAAGAAGAAGATTCATAATTGCAAATAGTAAAAGAATATGCATCCAAAAGGTTCTAATTGGGACAGACTTGATTAAACAAAAATATCAATAAACGCCAAAATTTTGCCTTAACTTTTTTCTATAAATAAACATATAG